TTCTGAAATGTGCTCAGGTCAGGAGCACAGGGCCATCCCGGAGGGAGCTCCAGCCAGAAGCTCCAGGGATGAGCACTGAAGCAGGAGCTCGGGGGGAACTGGGGCTCAGGGAGCCCAGCACAGCTGCTGCCCCTGTCCCTGCTCTCCCTGTCCCCGCTGCCCCTGTCCCTGCTCTCCCTGTCCCCGCTGCCCCTGTCCCTGCTCTCCCTGTCCCCGCTGCCCCTGTCCCTGCTCTCCCTGTCCCCGCTGCCCCTGTCCCTGCTCTCCCTGTCCCCGCTGCCCCTGTCCCTGCTCTCCCTGTCCCCGCTGCCCCTGTCCCTGCTCTCCCTGTCCCCGCTGCCCCTGTCCCTTCTCTCCCTGTCCCTGCTGCCCCTGTCCTGCCCGCTGTGCCAGCTCCATGGCTCATCTGTCACTCCTCACTGGAACACAAAGTCATTTTTAGTTCTGGACAACATGTAAAGTTCAAAAACCTCTCACAATTCTCTGATTTCAAACAGTTCTCCTCGCCCTTCTTCTTTCCCTTCCTCCTCTGAAATGCAGAAATGCACCTGCATTAACATAATGGCATGGGCCAGCAGGGCTAATAGGGCTGATCTGCTCTAGAAGAGAAGGATGTAACTGGAGTGCCAAGTGCCACTGCCCTCAGTGGTGACACCCGAAGGGACACTGTGTATTACAGCACAAAGGCTGCACATTCCTGCTGCTGGCACAAGTGCCAGGGCATGGGAGCAGGGGGACAGGCAGCCTGCACACCATGTGCTTCAGCATCCTCCCTGTGCCTCTGCTGCTGCTAGGGATGAAGATAACAAGCCATTGTCAAGGGCAACCACGGAGCTGCTTGTTCCACATTAGCATCCTTAACATTTTCTATCTAATCAGATTTCCTGTTGGTTGAGGGAAGCTGCCTTTCCTCGTTACCAGCTGCTATCCCAGACTTCCCTCTCCCCGTTCCCAGTACGTATTTTGCCATGCTTGTCTGCTTTTCTGTGTAAAAAGGTTATGTATGCCTGGAGGGAGACTAAATGTTACCAAAAAAAAAAAACCAAAAAAAAAGAAAAAACCCACATGAAAACAGAACTATGGGCGAGTGTCCAAGACTCCTGACTGTGTGACTGTGACTAACCAATGGGTGTTTTTAAAAAACATTTCTCTCATTTTATTCCCTTCCCTGGATGTAATAATACAACTCAAATTAGTTTTCCAGGAGCTGACTCCTTTTTATGTAACCATGTTTTATACAGAAAGCAGCAGCAGCTTATGTTTAAACTATTTAAGAGAACAAATAGCTGCAAAATGTACTTCAGATAGCCCTTCTCCTGCTAGCAGCGTCTTCCTGCTTGAGGGAAGCTACAAAAACACTCTGTATTCTGCTGCTGCAGCGTGGATGCAATCGTAAACAATGCCCAATGCCCAGAGGAGCAGCATCCAGGTAAGGATGTCAGCTCTGCTTGTTTTACGGCCTTTCAGAGACCCAGGACGTGCAAGCTGTGCGATGGCTCTGGCAGGACAAGCAGCAGCCCAGCTCTTGCCCAGCCCCAGGGCACAGGGAGGGCAGCACCCCACTGAGCTGGCAGCATCCCTGCTGGCACGGGCTCAGCTGGGCACCCCCACACGGGGGGCTCTCACCGTTGTGACCCCCATCTCGTCTCCCCCCTCCCACTCCACCACTGGCTGCAGTCACTGGGCCAAGGCTTCCTCTGTGTCCTCAGGCTGGAACCTGCACTGCCCTGCTTTCCTCAGGGGCACACGGTGTGGTGAACAGAGATGATGCTGCAAGGAGGTGTGGGAGAAGAACAGGAAACCAGGGCAGATCAGTTCAGGTACATGGATCTCATTTCTCATTCCCACTTTAGCTTTAGAAGCAGGCCCAAGGTGAGAAGTGATGAGCACCAGGCTCAGAGCAGCGTGACGTGGCGTTCAAGGCTCAGCAAACAGCAGAACCCTCCCCACACACCCCTGCCAAAGGCCTGGGAAATCCTTTACCTGGTGCCATCCTACCTGCCTAGGGAGTCTGAATCCTGGAGGGATAAACGAGGCTCCCCAGGCACTACCCCTGTATGGAAGTGGTTAAAAAGTGCAGAGAGATCCACCAGCTAAACAAGAGAGCTGCGAACTCAGAAACATGCAGGCTTTACTCTGTGCTCCCATGCCATTATTCAGCAGATTAAAAAGGTGCATTTTTGTACTCTGCAGAGTCTTCCAAGCCTGCAATTTTCCATAAAACTTCCATGATGACATTTCACTTGGAGAACTTTGCTACCAGCTTCCTAGCTGTCATACTTTCCAGTACCTTCAAAAATGTGTAATTTATGTCACAGTAACAAGTTTAAACATTCTTTTTCCTTTATCCTAACAGCACAACAGAGCTGTTAACTGCTGGGCTCACACTGGATGGGATTTCTGCTACGATTTGCTTCAGCCACTCCATTAACTTCGCTGGACTGTGGCAGGGTTTGCATGGACAGCACAGTTCAGATCACCTCACAATCAAAATGTTTCCAGCTTCATGCCAACAAACCACTGAGGATGGCACACATCAGTCTTTCAGCGGGTCTAATACCACTTTCCAAGCAATTCACACATTCTGAAGAAAAAGATAAATGCAGCCCAGGCAACCTGAGCTACAGGAGAGGCTAAAAGGATTCCTGGTCAGATGTTCTCCCTCCTGTGCCAAAGACAACATCTGCCAGAGAAACACACAGGAATCACACACCAACAAAGGCTGCCCCCCTGAACTCCACCCCCAGGTGTCACAGGACAAGCCAAGGTGGCCACGGCTGGGAAGGCACTGCTGGAGGAGAGCAGGGACAAGGAGAGACATTCAGCCCTGGGCACGGCAATGGAAGGTGGCAAGCCTTCCTCTCAGAGCCAAACCTTTTCCCTGGGAGTGAACACCAGTGCCCTGTGCCATGGAGGAGATGTTTTCCCTGGGAATGAACACCAGTGCCCTGTGCCACGGAGATGTTTTCCCTGGGAATGAACACCAATGTCCAGAGCCATGGAGGAGATGTTTTCCCTGGGAATGAACACCAATGCCACATGCCATGGAGGAGATATTTTCCCTGGGAATGAACCAGTGCCCTGTGCCATGGAGAAGATGTTTTCCCTGGGAATGAACCAGTGCCCTGTGCCATGGAGGAGGGGGTGACACAGCTGCTGCTGGAGCAGACACTGGAGGTTGATGGAGAACCCAAGAAGAGCAGCTCTTGGCTTGCAGGGAACACCACGGCCACACTGATGCTCCCAGGTCTTCCCTCAGAGCCTGCACTGTGCCAGCCTTTCCCACAGGTCCCAAATTCCCCAACACTGAACCAAACCATGTCCCACGGAGACTCTGGAGAGAAAAGGCCCAGCACGGCTCTGCTCTCCTTGCTCCTCTTGGACAGCCTCTGGGGAGTGAACTGGTGATTTATTTATGAAACACCAGCCCAGCCAAGGGCAGTGCTCTGCAGGACTCCAGCTCCCAGGGCAGGCTGCAGTGGAACAAGCCCAGGCTTCTGCTGGGGTTTCAGAGCAGCACACGCAGCAGCCAGGCACAGCTGCCAGGGATGGAGCTGCGTGCCCAGCTGCCTTTCGTGGCTGGGGGATCGTCCTGCCCACCGAGTGCCACTGCTGAGCACTGCGGAGCTCAGCTGCCACCATCTTCCCAGAGCAGCTTGCCAGGAACAGCTCTGGGCTCCGAATTTACTCATGAGCAACACAAACCCTGACACAGGACAAGAAATCCACGACCTCTGCTGAGCCAGGAGAGCGCCACAGGACTCACCTGCCCTTCATCTTTACTGGGTCATGAAATCACAACTTCTGTCAAACCAGCCCCAGGACTGAGAGGACAACTGGGCTTTCTTCAAACCCCGACTTTAGCATTCAGTTACATCAGCACTGAAACAAGAAACTTCTCCCCAAGCCTCAAACCAGAATGTCTCAGAGTTAGTATTTCTGGTGAGATGATAAATGCTATTTTAATAAAATACTTTTATTTTAAAAGACACCAATCTCACAGAGGTGGTACAAAGAACATTCATGCAAAATTTGGAGAATGCAACAGAAGAAAGCAACTGACTGAAATATTTTGGGCTAACAGTGACAGCTCAGGAATGATGCCCATCATTACAGAGAGAATAATGCAAGTGATTTGTAAGAAGAACTCCAACCTGCTCACTCTGCCGTTCCTGCAGACTTGATTGTGGCAAAATCCAGCCCTGAATATTTCATCTTAAAACACTTCTACCAGCAGTAGCATTATTTGTCTTGGCAGATACTGGAGCTTATGCAAAAAGTACAAGGCTTACCACGTGGAATATGAAGCAGTAAGGCAAAACACATATGGAATAATAAGAGAAAGTATTAAAAAATAAAATTTAAAATAGCTTAATCTTAGGCACACTAGACAAACGAGATATACCTCATTGGCAATTTCACATCAGTAAACACAGCATGAGGAGAGACCATACCTTTGCTTCATCTGAAAAGGAAAACAATCTACTTTTTTTTTTTTTTTTTTTTTTTCTGCTGTGCATGCATTTCATTTCCCAAAATGCAACCAGGCGTGCATTCCACACAAACTCCATCCTGCTTCACCCAAGAACAGCTGCCATGAGCATTCTCTAGCACTGTGCAGAAGCCTTATGGGGTGCAAGGTGCTGGGGACAAGCCGACCCTGGCTCTGGCGCCAGGCTCAGAGCAGAGTGCAGCTGCAGCAATTACTGCAAAGAACCGGCTGGGAATTGATGCCGTTGGAGCAGCAAGCAGCTTTTGGCAGCCAAAAAAAGGGCAGTGTGTAATGATGAGAGCTGAAACAAACAAAGTTTCTTGGAGGAAAGCAGCGTCAGTCCTGTCCCGGAACGCGCCCGGCGCGGTGTCCTGGGGAGCACCGGACACTGACAGGCAAGCAAAGGGACAGAGTGCAGGGCTCCCGCCCCCGCGCAGCCTGGGGACACACAGGGACACACAGGGACGAGGGACCAACGAACAGAACACGGACCCATAGCGCCACAAACCTTCCGGCTCTGTGTTCTCTTTGAGGTGCACTTGCTTCAGTGGGCAGCAGAAGATTTCGTGACACTTAGCACGAAAAGGGGACTCTTTTTTCTTTAATTCCGCAGATTGGATGGAATCTTGCCGTAACATAATGTACTCCTGAGTGCCAGGGGGAGCGTCATCCATAACTGTGGTCACCACATAACAAAATGAACTCAGGTTAGAGCCCCAGGAAAGCAATCCCACAATCAAATCAACTACAGAACGTCAGGGTGGGGAAAGACACAGGGGAAGAAAGGTTCATAGGAAGGAAAATAAACTTTAAAGTGTAAAGTATCTTAGTCATGGCAGGAGAAGGGTGGGAAAAAACATTTTATAAACAATGCCCATAAACCTCAGCACTCCATCCCGTTACATGCAGCTCTGACAAACAGTAAATAACCCCCGCTCTGAGAGAAGCACAGCTCCTCCTGCATCTGCTCTATCCTCCCCAGCACCCCTACCCATCCTGCACGCAGACTCGGAAAGAGCAAACCAAACTCTGCTTTTTGGCCTGGCCACAGGCAATGTCTGCACCACATCAGGGAAAAACCCTCCCCACCTGCAGGTACTGATCCCAGGGCCTTTAGCAGGACATGGAATCACACCCGTTCCTCAGAGCAGGGATACCCCAGAGCCACTGGACATGGAATCCCAGAGCCTTTATCAGGACATGGAATCACACCCGTTCCTCAGAGCAGGGATACCCCAGAGCCACTGGACATGGAATCACACCCGTTCCTCGGAGCAGGGACAACCCAGAGCCACTGCACTCCACCACCGTTTTCAACAGATACAAGTGCAGATGTACAAAGAGAAAGCACATTAATCCTTCTGATGGTTTTCTTGTAAAACAGCAAGTAGTTTTTAAAGTTGATCTTATAAATCAATACTGCCATTAATAACATAAAGGACACGCAGTCTGAAACGTTTCTGAATGGGGTCAGACTATTAAATGGCAGAGAGATAAAATACATAGCATAAAGAAAGTTCCAGCTACCTCAAAGTATTACATTACCAGAATGAATTTAAATGCTTTTCCACTATCTAAAAAAATGAAGCCTTAATAACACAGATAGTGAGATTCCTCAGCTCACAGCTTTAGGCACATCATCTCACATGAACAAAAATTAGCTGCTTTTTCACAGGACAGCTTCCAGCCACCAACTGTTATTTATAGTGTAACACAGAGATATAAAACCATACCCAAAACCAAACTTGGATTCCCCAACCCTATGTGAAAAAAACAAAAATTAAAAAAAAAAAAACCAAGAATTTCAGTAATTCCGAAAAATAACTACTGACAGGCTAGTCTAAAACATGCACTGCCATGCACTAGGTAAGTTTATTTGGTTCTCAAACTGATGGCCATTGATTCTAACAATTTAACTGCTCCCTAAATATCGGCCAACACATGGACATCTTAAAAACCACCAGATTTAAACACGGACCCCCTCAAACAAACATTCCCCCATTGCATTCTCAGGCATTGGATTTTTTTCTCTGGCAGGAGTCATAGCTGGGGGATAAATTCAAACTGACGGTTGTTCTGCTCACAGCGGGCAGTCACCTTCTCTGCATACCTGCATACTCTCAGAGAAAGTGATAAATAACCACTACAGAGCTTTAAATAAACGAATCCTTTTTCCTTCCCCTACAATTTGATGGAGACCAAACCCACAGCAACTGAGAGGAGCTTGCTTAGCAGCGAGTGTAAAATAACTGCAGTGACTATTATGTTTCCTAATCAAAACATTCAGCTTGCTAAATATCACCCTGTAGCACATTCTTCAGCTCAAATAAAATAGTAATAATTACATTAATAAAAACTTGCTGTCAACAAGCCACTAGGAAAAAGATTTCTTCTTCCTGTAAGCTTTACTGAGAGAAAGCAATCTTTAGGATGGCTGCTGGCACCAGGATGTTTTTCCAGATAAATTCAAACATGTTTACTTTATATAAACACACCAGCTAAACAGTCTGCTGGTTTGTGTCTTTCTTTTATGTCCAACTGCATTTCAGTCCCATCCAGAATTGCCAGAAACCATAACATCAACCCTGTCCATAGGCCTTGGCTCGGGTTCCCACTGCATTATCTTTGATGTAATTCAGAGTTTAATAAAGCTGGAAGGAAATATCTTTCCCCCTGGTTTTACACAGAGAGGCTTCTGCTCTGCTAGCTCCAGGCTACAGCAACCACAGGGTAAATAAAAAATAAAATCCAGGCAAAACACATTCTCCTGCTCCTGTTGGACCATTGTTCTTGTATGTATGACACAATTTAAACAAAAAAAAAAATCATACTTCCATGGATCCATTCACTCCTGAATGAACCTTTCGGGTCATTACCTGAAACATGAATTTTCCTCAGTTCCCTACCTTCACAGTCTGCTCAGTTTTACACGTTGTGAGCCCCAGGACGCTTACACTTGCAATAAATTCGTTTTTCTGCCATTGTGGAAGGACTGGAGTCGTGACTCCACACACAAGGTCTCCAAGCCACAGAGAGCATCAGAGCACCCCTGGGACCCCGCACCCACAAAGTGAAAAAATCCCTTCTCCTTGGCACAGGGCAGGAAAAACCCACTCCCCCAGTGTGACTTTGTGGAATAATGAGAGCAGCAGCCAATGCCCCCCCACTGCCACCCCCCAGGGTCACTCACCCAGTGTCACTGTCACCTCCCCAGTGTCACCTCCCCAGTGTCCCCTCCCCTGGTGTCACTGTCACCCCCCAGTGTCACCTCCCCAGTGTCACCTCCCCAGGGTCACCCCTAGTGTCACTGTCACCTCCCCAGTGCCACTGTCACCCCCCATTGTCACCCCCCCAGTGTCATTGTCAGTCACCCCCCCAGTGTCAGCCAGCCCCCCAGTGTCACTCCCCAGTGTCACTGTCACCCCCCCAGTGTCACTGTCACCCCTCACTGTCACCTCCCCACTGTCACTCCCCCAGTGTCACTGTCACCTCCCCGGTGTCACCCCTCCAGTGTCACCTCCCCAGTGTCACTGTCACCACCCATTGTCACCCCCCCAGTGTCAGTCAGCCAGCCCCCCAGTGTCACTCCCCAGTGTCACTGTCACCTCCCCGGTGTCACCCCCCTGGTGCCACTGTCACCCCCCTGGTGCCACTGTCACCCCCGGTGTCACCCCCGGGCCCAGAGCAGCGATGCTCCCTGAGCCCCTCCCTCGCCCGCCCAGAGGAACGAAGCTCACAGATGAGGTTACCCGGGCCCTGGGGCTGTTTGCAGCTATGCAGGAATTATTCTTTTTCTCCTTTTAGGGCAAAACATCAGGCTATCAAGTTGCTTGCAGCTCCTTACAGGAACAAGTCTAAAAAAAACCCTCTCTAAAATAACTTGCTCCAAGTGACTGCCTGTAGGACAGGGCAGGGCAGGGAGGTGGGTACTTTGCTGTAATAACGTTTTCCTAGCTGACACAGCTGATGAAAACCTCTCAGGTCTATGGGCAGTAAAAATTCTCTTTGCTTCTTTTCATCACTGCTTTGTTTCCCTCCTAACTTCTCCCAGTTAAAGGTGTGATTTTTTTTTTTGTCAGCCACCTGCACAACACAATAAACTCAGAGCACAACAATACTTGCAAGCTAATTGAAAAAAATTCTATTCTGGGGTTGTGAAACACTCAGAACCTCTTAATGACAACACAGTCTATCCAAACCATTTCACATTAAGCTTTGCCAAATCTTGATGAAGTATTCTTACCAAACAGCCCTGGCACTTCTGCATCACCCAGAAATCTTATTTTCAGCTTGCAGCTGTGTGCTCCCAACTTTGAGGTCTGGTTGACTCTGACTTGCAGTTTTCACAATGAACACAGATATTACAGGAAGCACAAGCAGCCAATTCTCTAATTTTTATTCACAGCAAGCCATTTCTGGAGTCCCTCATTTTGCACCACTCCTTCCTCCCCAACACACCCCCAAACCCAGGCACCACACCAGCTTATTTCAAACTGGAAGAAACAAACCAGCAAAAATACCCTGTGAAAGACACAACTTTCTTTAGATGAGTTTTCACAATTAAAAGTAGGCTCAAAATGAGCTCTCATGACGTCTGGAAGCTGCTGCTGGATGGGGTTTGTGACAGTGAGGGCTGCCAGGGACAGCCCAGCTCCTTCACTCTCCCGGGGAACGGCGCCTGCTCTTTGTTCTCAAACCCGTCCTATAAATTTCCTCAATGGCAGCTGCTTCCTGGGCTTGTTCTGACCTGCTGCTAAAGGACAGCTTCACGGCATGCATGAACAGAACATCACTTTGGGATGGGCAGTACCTGTCTGCAGGAACTCAGACACTCAGGGAAGCAGACCCCCTGCCCAGTAAGGGGCTCTCAGTGTTGAACTAATGAGTTCCCAAACTGCTGCTCTCCACCAGACTGCAGCCACCATCCGAACCTGAGGCTTTAGGGGTTCAGCAGTACATGGCTCTGAGTCTGTGGGAAAGGGAGGGTAACTCCTACTCACGGCACAAATATCACAGCAACATTTAAATTCATCACTGATTCCAAGGAATGCTCCCGTGGCAAGGGCAGGGTCCCAGCTGCTGCTGTGTGAGGCAGAGTGACAGACACCCGACAGGCAGCCTGGAGCCCAGCACTTTCCATCCCACACCGACCCCGGGTGTGCCCCGCAGCACCCAGGGGAGCCCAGGGCTGCAGCACCCTCGGGACTGCTGCCAGCTCCTGAACCTGCCTGCGGCTCCTTCCTTCCAGCAAACAGAGCCCCCCGTGCACAGCCTGCACCGAGAGCCATGTCCCTGTCCTGAGCCCTGCGCCGGGCCAAGCCCCGAGCACGAGGGTCACCATGGAGGGTCACCAGGGAGGGTCACCAGGGAGGGTCACCAGGGAGGGTCACCATGGAGGGTCACCATGGCAGGGTCACCATGGCAGGGTCACCAGGGAGGGTCACCAGCACTGCAGTGTCACCATGCAGGGTCACCATGGAGGGTCACCATGGAGGGTCACCATGGCAGGGTCACCATGGAGGGTCACCACGGCAGGGTCACCATGGCCTGTGCAAGGTCACCATGGCCCAGCAGTGCAGGGTCACCATGTCCCGTCCAGGGTCACCATGGCCTGCCCAGGGTCACCATGGCCCACACAGGGTCACCATGGCCCACGCAGGGTCACCATGGCCCACG